CAATTTTCGCAAGAATAGCACTCTTGCGTTGGAATATCCAGCAATTTAGTCAAGCGCCGCGCTCCCGACATTTAGGCACCCAGGAGTCGCGCTCACGCCCAGGACTCCCTCGCAGATTTTTCAGGAATCTGGATCTCGCCGCCCTTCGTGGCACTGGTGCAGCCCTTCGTGGCCCCCTCGCTGCCCTTCGTAGCCCCGTTGGTGCCCTCAGTGGCCCCGTCCTTGCCTTCCGCGGCCCATTATTCGTATGCCCTCCGTGGCCCCCCCGTTCGCGCCCGTCGTGGCCCCGTGTGCATGCCCTTCGTGGCCCCGCTGTCGCCCTTTGTGGCCTTCTCGCTGTCCTACGTGGCCCAGTTGCTACGCTCAGTGGCCCCGTCGTTGCCTTCTGTGGCCCCGCATTGTTTGCCCTTCGTGGCCCCCGCTCGTTCGTGCTCTTCGTGGCCCCGTACGCATTCCCTTCGTGTCCTCGCTGTCGCCCTTCGTGGCCTACTTCTTGCCCGTCGTGGCCCTGTTGTCGTTCTTTCTCTCGCTCCCGCTTTCGCTCGTCGTCGCCGTCGTCGCCGTCGTCGTCGTCGTCGTTGTCGTCGTGGTCGGTCCCCTGTCCGTGCCTCTTGGGGTCGGGCTCGTCGATCAGCGCTGCCGCTGGCCAGGCCGACGGTCCGCGGCCGGCCCGCCGCTTGCCGGGGCCCGGCCTGCAGGGGAAAAATACATACCCCCCAAAAGGGGCGTCAACGGAAATTCGAGCAGATAAGAGCGAACAGTCTTACAATGGTGGTTGCTGTGCTTGTTGTTGTTGTTGTTGAACATTATTAATTCTAAAGAATAATTATTGTTGGGCCCCCTGGTGCACGCCCCCCCCCCCGCGCCTAGGCCGCAGCCACATTTTCATAATTTTCGTGAGGAAGTCTCAGGTAAAACGATGTCATCCAGATCCGGTTGTTTTGTTGACGCCCGCTTTCCCTGTCAAAAAACACTATAAAATGACATGTCTTGTTCTAACATAACCAAACTTCAAGAATCCTTTGCAAAAAATGACACGAAGTGCACACTCGCGCGCGCAAGATGAAATCCTTCCAAAACCTTAGTTTTCGTAGCGATTTTAACATAAAAACATGAAAAACCCAATGGTTTTTCAAAAAAAAAGTTTCAAAAAATCATCTTGCGCGCTCTTGCGGATTTCTGAGGAAACCCAATATTTTTCAACATTTCTGTCAAACGGGCTCTTGCGAGCAACTTTTTCACGTGCTTCGAACTTCTGCAACAACGGTTGCGCGCATGCCAGGGCCATCATCCCTGTCAAATAATACCATATTGGACACATTCGTTTTTTCTTCGCGCGCGCACGCCGTCGTCGTCGGCCGCGGGGCCCTGAATAGTAGCCACGGTCGTCCGCATGCCACGAAGTGAAGTGTCCGAACGTCATAGGGCGGGAAGCTGGGTGTGGGTGGTGGCGAAGAGTCGTTTGGAAATTTGGTAGAGCTTGAACCGGCCCCCCCACAAAGTGGGGGTATTGCCCGCCTCCTATGAAAACCCTGGCACTGGTGAGAACGGAGTGTCCCCAGTCTTAAATGATTGTTGTTGTTGTTGTTGTTGTTGTGGTTGTGGTTGTGGTTGTGGTTGTGGTTGTGGCTGTTGTTGATGTGTTCTCATTTAATAAGTAATGTTGATCCCCGCTCCGGTAACCACTCTTTAAATGAAGTGCCCCTTTCGGGCTTCGCACCCTCTCTGTTATCAGTGAAAGTTTGGTGTCCCCAAGCTGTGTAGGCCCTCAGTTCACAACAACAGCGGCTCCAGCCTGATACTTTCTCACAATTGTTATTCCCAAATCGCGCTCTCGTGAGAGACTTTCTCACAGTTTATGCAGGGATCGCGCTCTGGCGTGGGACTTCCTGCCCATTTATGTCAGCGCTTCGCTCATACCGCCGGCCAATATTGCCTCGCTGCTTGGGGGCCGCGTTGGGCCGCTTGGGGGCCTCTGGGAAGCAGTTGCTGTGTTGGGGCCACTTGGGGCCGAAGGCTAGACTTTTCGGTTCCTGGTTCCCGTGTTGGGCCCCTCTTGGGGCCGTTTTGGGGCCGTGGGCCATTTTGGGCGCCTCTTGGGTTGTCCTGGGGTCATCTTGGGCCGTCTTGGGGCCCTCTTGGAGGCTTCTGGGGCCGTCTTGGGGCGGTCTTGGGGGCCTCGTGAGCCGCCTTGGAGCGTCGGAAAGCCACAAAGGCGAGAAACGTCGTACATGCGACAAATGGTTTTTCCCCAAAAAGGGAATGGGACGATTTTTGCTTGTTGGGGCCCTCTTGGAGAGCCTCTTGAGGCTCTCGTGGCGCTTTTTCGCGAAGTCGGCCATGTGGAGATCATCTTGAGCGTCTTGGAGCGATCTTTCGGCGACTCGGAGCCTCTTGGGCCGTGTAGGGGGCGTCCAGGCGCCCTCTTGGCGCGCTTCTGGAGCGCCTTGGGGGAGTCGGCTGGGCATCGGCCGGGGTACTTTTCGTCCAGGGGTCCCCAGGGACCGCCACGCGCGCGCGAAAAAGCATAATGTGAGCCTGTTACCGGAGATCTTAGCACGCCTTCGGCCCGTTTAGCTCGGGGGTGGACAGAACCCCCAACAGTGACACGTCGATTAGTGAATTGTCCGTTTTCGGTTCTCGAGAGGGCGCCGTGGCCGTTATTTTCCAGGCTTGCGCCCGTCGGGTTTGGGCCTCAGGTCGCTTTCACTAAACCACGTTTTACTAAAGGGGGGTCTGTCCATCCCCGATTAGCCGGCGAATTGAAACGCCGCGCCCCCGACACTTTGGAATCACGCTATCGCTCGAGATCTCCCCGCAATCCATGCACTATTCACGCTTCATCAACTCGCCTTCTCGAACTGGCCGCTTGGGCCCGCCTTCCCGACCCGCCCTCCAGGGTCTACCCGCCCGGTGGGCCCGTCTGGTTCTGCCATATGTTTTCTGCTTCTAGCTCCCCTCCTGATATTCCCGTGCTCCATTATTCTCCCTCTCCCTTGCATCGGTTCTCTCTTCCCCTGTTGCAGGGGTTGCGCCAATTACACGCGGCAGGCTAGGAGGATATACCCCCAGGGGGATACGATCGAAGACGAATAGGGCGGGTACCGAGGGTTCGGGATACATGTGTTGAAGGGCGCGGGAGCAGATAATAACGAGCAGTCTTTAAATTGATGGGAGTTGTTGTTGTCGTCGTCGTCGTTGTCGTTGTCGTTGACGTTGTCGTTGTTGTTGTTGATGTTGTTGTTGTTTTTGTGGTGGTTGTGGTCGTGTTGCTGGTGGTGGTGGTTGATGTTTCTGTTGTTGTTGCTGCTGCTGCTGTTGTTTTTGTTGTTGCTGCTTTTGTTGTTGCATCCCTCTTCCGAAGAATACTTAATATTGCCCCCCCCCCTCCGCCTCACGTCGTATTTTTCCAATTGCGTTGCCCCTCCCGGGGTTGCACCCTAATTTTGTTATTACGGAGAGTCTGGAGTGTCAAATTGGCCACTTGGTTCCTGAACTACAACAACAGCGGCTTCCGCTTTATACTACCTCACAATGTATTCGAACATCGCGCTTTTACGCGGGACTTCCTAACATTTGTTTGCAGGAATCGCGTTCTCGTGTGGGACGTCTTCGCAACGCATTCAGGCGCCGCGCCCTCGACGCTCAGGAATCGCTCTCGCTCTGACCATTCGCACGATTCTCTTGGGAATCGCGCTGTCGCTCGACACTTGCTCGCGACGCATGCATGGCTCACGCTTCAGCATCCCGCCTGTTCGACCTGGCCGCCCGGGCTCGCCTCCCGACCCGTCCGTTAGGGCCAGCGTGCCCGCTGGGCCCGCCTAGTTCTGCGGCGTGTCTCCTGGCCTCCCTCCTGCTAGTCTCTCTTGTGCGCCATCCTGCGCCCTCCCCTGCCATCCGTCTTCTCTTCCCCTGTTCCAGGGGTGGCGCCAAATGCACGTGGCAGGTAAAGCAGAGATGCCCGAGAGAGGGTACGATCGAAGACGAAACGGGCAGTTTACCGAGGGTTTGGGATACACGTTTTGGTTTAAGCACGAGCGGATCAGAGCGAACAGTCTCAAATTGATTGTTGTGATTTCTGTTGATTGTTGATGATGGTGATGATGATGATGATGATGATGATGATGATGATGTGGATGATCATGTGGACGTTGTTGCTGATGATACTGCTGATTATGCTGGTGCAAGCGAGGGTGATGATGATGCTGCTGATGATGATGCTGAAGCTGCTGATGCTGCTGATGATGATAATCGTGGAGGTGATGCTGTTAAGGATGATTATGCTGATGATGAGGATGCTGATGCTGTTGATGATGGTGGTGATGATGCTGATGATGATGATGGTTGTGGTGGTGGTGATGATGATGATGACGCTGCTGCTAATGATGATGCTGACGACGATGACCATGATGATAATGAGGATGGTAATGGTGATGATGATGATGATGATGATGATGATGATGATGATGATGATGATGACCATGATGATGATGATGATGATGATGATGCTGATGATGATGATGATGATGATGATGGTGATGCTGATAGTGGTGATGGTGATGACGACACTGCTGCTGTTGACGATGTCGATGATCTTGTTGTTGTTGATGATGATGGTGGTGATGATGTTGATGATGATGATGATGATGATGATGGTGATGGTGATGGTGATGGTATTGGTTAGTGGGAGCAGTAGTAGGAGGAGGAGGAGGAGAAACAGATGACGTACGAGGTTGAGGAGGAGGAGGAGGAGAGGAAAGGCAGAGACGGATGTGACCGAACTTGCTACCGGCCGTGAACTTCTTATTGGATTCGAACCAGAGGAAATCGGTCACACGCGGGCGCGTGCGGAACCATTCGGGCGTTAGTTTCGGTCACGCTCGGAGAGATTGTCGGGCACATGTTCGAGCCCTATAAACCCCCTGATAGAGACGAGGCTACGTGAGAAGGATGGAGGAGGGCCGAGTAGCTGGGTCCTACGGCCGTTTTGGCGCGCGGAGGCGACGCGCAGTACGACAAGGACATGATCCTTCGCGAGCTCCTGAAGGCCTGCTCGCACGCGCGAGCGCCGTCCGGGACGGTCAGGACGCCTGCACCGGGCAGACGGTGGTGCAAGGGATGGGGTGGGGAAGTGCCAGCTGTTTGGTGGGTTTTGGCAGAGCAGGATCATCCAAGGCGCCCTGACGGGCGGATTCGTTGGTCAGTTCTGCTCCCGCCCCGGATCTCGAACCCCCCGAAGGTCTTGGGCGTCGCGTAGTGGGGGGGCGATGCATTTGAGGAGGCAGCGAGGGCGGCAGCAAAGGGGCCCTCGAGGGCCTTCAAGGGCCCTTTAGGGGTCTCAAAGGGGCCTTTCGGGTTCCGCAAGGGGGGCCCTGGGCTTTCGGGTCCGAGAAGTGCACCTGTCTTGTCCCCATTCAGCGCCCCCCTCCCCCAGGAAGCGACGCCCAGAGGTCCCTGGAGCCCCCCAGGAGCATCCAGAGGGCCTGCAGGGGCCAGACGCGTTCGAGCACCTCTCCAGGTCGGGGGCAGAATTTGACAGGCTCCGCGATCCCTCCAAAAATACATCAGGGAGGGGAGGGGGAGGGTTCCCCTCCCTGAAAGGAAGAGGGGTTGTGGAAGAGGAAAGAGACCCTCGTTGGACCACCTGTCGCCCAAAGGGCTGGTGGGATTTGACAGGCTCGGTTCCCACGCCGCGCGTCCCATCGTTCGAAAAAAAAACCCTTCGCGACCCCTCTCTGTGTGCTCTTCCTCTCGCTGCTGTGCCCGCGAACCTCAGCGGCCTCTCTGTGACGGCGGCCCGCGGTCATGGCACGCAACCCCGAGGTTTCAACTAGCGCCACTCCCGGGGCGGGGATGCGTGTCGGGATTGCGGTGCTCTCTCCCTGCTTGGGGCCGGCTCGGCCTTCTTCGGAGCAGCGGCCGGTCTGTCGCTGTATGTGTTGGACAGTTGCACGCCGACCAGCGCAATTCCTTCAACCTTTCGGGTCCGAGTCTTGAGGTTTTCGGACGGTTTCGTCGATTCTTTGCGGTCTTCCAGCCTAGATGTACTTTCGAGCAGGTAGCTGCGCCTCGCCGAGAGCGTTCCGGAGGTGCCCCGACCGTCCCGAACGGCCGCCAGAGAGCCGCCGAACTCCAGGGAGCAACGTTAGGGTCGGAGGCGACGATACGGGCGAAAGCCTAGAGGAGAGCAGTACACGTATCCCGGGGCGCCGATGGTCCATGTCTTCGGCGAGGCTCCCAGAGGGAGACGTGTGATGCTCGCCCCTGGGTTATTGGCCCTTACCGCGGGAAAGTGGGAAGGAGAAGGCCTTCTCAGAAGGTGGCAAGGCGTCTCAGAAGCCAACCAGCCTTCTGAGAAGTATCTCGTGTTTCTCTTCGGGGAAGGCCTCGAACACCTCTCAGAAGGCCGGAGATCTTCCGAGCCTTCTCTCAGAAGGCCTTCTCCTTCTCGCTTCCCCCCCCCTGGGCTCGGGGATCGGTCCAGGGGGGGGGGCTGGAGGCCCCCCAGACGGGGCCCGTGCAGAGTGGGGTCGGGGGATCGCGCCGCGCCGCCGACGCATCGGGGGCGCGGCCTTGCGTGGAGAGTCCTCAGGAGGGCAGCAAAAGCACACAGACACAACTCATCGTCCATCCTCAGGAAAACTACGGCAACCACCGTAGGAGTTGTGGGGAAGTGGAGCATGCAGGGAATACGGCAAATGCAGGGGATCTTGGGATTTGTGCATGCTGGGCCCCTTCAGTGGAGAGCCCGGCCCTCTCCACGCCACCCGCGCCGAGGGCCCACGCTCCGAGGAGGACCAAGGCACTCGTCGATGCCCCGGCCCTTCCCTCGAGGGGGGGGCCCTCGTCGCCCCAGCCGGGCTCGCCCCAGAGCTCTGGTCGGAGTGCACCCTGGGAGAGGTCTCGTCTACGGTAGGTTCGCGTCGTGTCGACCGGCGGCGACCCCGCCGCCGACGTTCAACGTTGAACGCCGACGGCGGCCCAGAATCGGTCGATGTTGAACGATCGGACGTTGCGGCAGCGGCCGATCGTTCAAGGTTGAACGATCCAGCGCGGTGTCAGGAACCAACGCCGGGGTCGACACGGCACGGACCTGCAGTAGGCCTCCCAGATGGTCACCAGCCACCAAATCACCCCAACCCAACCCGAAGGCTCAGATTTACCCTCGATTTCTAGGGGGGGGGTCGGGAAGCATCGACAAAAACAGGAGTGGAACCCTTACCCCCCCCCAACCCGAAATTCGGGTCTTCGGGTTGGGTTGGGGTGGTCTGGTAGGTAGTCAGATGGGGTCCGATGGGGTCGGAGAGTCGCGCCGCATCGCCGATGCATCGGCGATGCACCAGCGATGCGGCTCGATGTGGGGCCCAGTTTTCTCCACGCCGACGTCGCCGATGCACCGCCGACGTCGCCATTGCACAGCCGATGCATCGCCGATGCATCGGCGATGCATCGCCGATGTATCGGCAATGCGGCGAGATCCTCCGACCCCATCTGCTCAGACCCCATCCGGGAGGCCTCTATCTTGGGAGCAGCGGTATCGGTATTGTGCTGGTGTGGGCGCCCTTTTGCAGTGAGTCACGACGACGGAGACAGGCGGTTCTCAAGCGCGGCTCCAGAGCTCTCGCTCCCGAACGCCCTGGAGCGGCCGCGGCACCCGGCACTCCCTCCAGGGCGCGCTGGATCTCAGTGATTCTCGATTGGTCCCGGTTCGATGCTGTCCCGTTCCCGGCCTCGTCTTCTCTGGGCCGTCACCCGTGGCCCCCGCGCTGCCACCCTGGCGGGTGCGGAGGGAACACCTGTGCTGCGGGACGCCCGGACGTCGTGCTGTATATCGACCGCGCGCGCGCGCTCTTACATCAGCAGGACCTGGAACATGATAGATGAGCGCAATTTCTGGCGGCGAGGATGCGCTCACCTCAGTTACTCTCAATGAGTAAGGGGCGGAGATCACTGTCCGTGCTAAGAGCATGATAGCATAATCAGTGTTTCACCGTTTGTTGTGTCTTCTCCGTGGTTGGTTCTTATATGATGTTTTTGTTGCTTTCACATGCGGATTTGTTTGACCCACTTGAGGTCTGGCAGGCGCGTTGAGAGTCTCGGGGGGGGAGGGCAGCATCCCCATCCAAAGCGCGCTCGAAGTATACAGATCGAGAGGCCACCTGGGGAAACAAAATCTGCGTGCGCCCTCCGTCACGGTACCGGCCGGACGATGCTCAGGCGTGCCTCCGCGTAGGGGTCGGCCCTTCCCCACGATGCCACCAGATGAATTTTCCCTGGTGGTGGCCCCTGTTCCCGCAACCTTGTGTAAAATATCCACGGCGGGAGTTTCTGTCGGCCATTTTCGGCCTTTGGGGGGCCTCCCCAACCACGCCCTCGGACCGTGAACAAAACGAGTCGGGATTTGAAACTGTTCCTGGGGAAGGGGTCTAGAAGTCTGGGAGTCAGCATTGTGAGAAAAAAGTGCCACGTTGTCAGAGATATTTGTTTGTTTTTGGAAAGAAGTCATGGAAGCCATGCGCGCCCTCGCAACTCAGTCGTTAGGTGTCTCAGCGTGCGCTGGCCTCTGGCCATCGATGGGCAAGCGCAGATCTAGCGTCGACTTGTGCCGATCTAGCGTGGATGTGGCGTCGGCTAGTGTCGGTTACGTAGCGTCGGCCGGCGTCGTAATTCGCGCAAGAGCCAGCAGGATGCCAGAATTACAGTCAACCCGCATAGTAAGGATGGGCGGCCTTCCCAAGGGTACCCTTGCACCCTTGGCTCCCCGGTCCATCCTTCGCCGCTTTCGCTGGCCGCGCCCCGCTCGAATAGTTTCGGAATGGGCGTCCCGGGACCCTTGCACCCTTCTCGAGCATCCTTACTGTGCTGGTTGAGTGCAGGAGGTGGAGGAGGAGGAGGAGGAGGAGGAGGAGGAGGGGAGGAGGGGGAGGAGGGGGAGGGGAGGGGGAGGAGGGGGGGGGAGGAGGAGGAGGAGGAGGAGGAGGAGGAGGAGGAGGAGGAGGAGGAGGAGGAGGAGGAGGAGGAGGAGGAGGAGGAGGCTCCCGCGAGCTGCCGCAGAAGACGCCGTCGGAGGTCTGGGCTTCCCCTCTGCACGGCGACGTGCCCCGCGCTCCGCCGCCACCTCTCGGTGCTCCCCCCGGCGGCCCGCACAGGGCGGGGGGCTTCTCGGAGGAGGAGGAGGAGGAGGAGGATGAGGCGCGGGCCATGTCCTCATCCTCCTCGCTCCTCGCCCTCCTCCCTCCTCCTCCTTCCTCCTCGTCTTCCTCCCTCGTCCTCATCCTCCTCCCTCGTCCTCATCCCCCTCGTCCTCATCCTCCTCCCTCGTCCTCGTCCTCCCGTCCTCTTCCCTCCTCCTCGTCCTCTCGTCCTCCTCCCTCCTCCTCGTCCTCGTCCTCCTCCCTCGCCCTCCTCCCTCCTTATCCTCCTCGTCCTCCTCTTCCTCTCCTCCTCCTCCCTCCGTCCGCCCGCGGCCAGGCTCGGGTGGCCTGCCTGGGGGACCTGCGCGAGGACGCCGGGCCGCGGCGCGTGGGCTTCGCCACCGGCAACTGGGGGTGTGGCCGGCCGCTGGGCGGGGGGCGGGTCGGGGGTTCCATGGCGCTCGGAGGGATGAGCAGGAGGTGTGTGGTGGTGGTGATCATTCGATTGATGAGGATGAGGATGAGGATGACGGTGACGACGATGAGGATGAAGATGAGGCTCATGATGATGCTGCTGCTGATGATCATGCTGATGCTGCTGATGATGATGGTGGTGGTGATGATAATGATGATAGTGATAATGATTTTGATGAAGATGGTTATGCTGATGATGGTGGTGGTGCTGATAATGATGAGGGTGATGATGCTGAGGATGATGGTGATGGTGGTGACGATGATACTGATGGTGATGCTGATGGTGATGCTGATGATGGTGATGATGATGATGAGGGCGATGATGATGACAACGACGACGACGACGACGACGATGATGATGATGATGACGATGATGATGATGATGATGATGATGATGATGATGATGATGATGATGATGATGATACTGCTGATGATGCTGCTGATGATGATGAGGCCGTTGATGATATTGAGGATGATGATGATTATAATAGGACTGCTGATGGTGATGATGCTGCTGCTGATGATGATGCTGACGACGCCGACGACGATGATGATGCTGCTGATGATGGTGATGATGATGCTGATGATGCTGATGGTGATGAAGCTGAGGATGATGGTGATGATGGTGATGATGGAAATGGTGATGGTGCTGATGGCGATGACGATGACGATGACGATGGGGACGACGATGATGACGACGATAGTGATGCTGGACATGGTGATGCTGCTGATGATGAGGTTGTAATAATGATGATGTTGATGGTGATTGTGATGATCATTATGGTGATGATGCTGCTGCTGATGATGCTACTGCTGCTGCAGCTGGTGCTGCGGCTGCTGCTGCTGACGACGACGATGATGATGATGAAGAGGATGCTGCTGATGATGATAATGCAGATGATGATGTTGATCATGATGAGGATGATGATGACGATGAATATGAAACCGCTGCTGCTGATGATGATGATGAGGATGATGAACATGATGATGCTGAGGCTGAGGCTTAGGATGAGGATAAGGACGATGAGGACAATCATTGTGGCCCATTGGGCCAGTCCGCGGTGCGGAATCCCCGAGCCCCATCGGAATCAATCTTGGGACCTGCAGCAAGGCTGCAGAAGCTGGGGCACTGAGAAGCTGTGTGCCGTGTGCTTCGGTGGCTCCTGAGCGGCGAACTCTCCACTCCACCTCCCGGGTTCCAGAGGCTGCGGCCTTCTGAAGCCGCCTTTGCGAAGGCATTCTCCTTCTCACTTCCCCCCTCGCTCGCCGCCGACAGACGTCAGAGGAGAAACATAGACCACCGCCACCGAGAACCCGTCGGAGGGGAGGAGCGGGCGGGGAGATCCACTCTTGGGCGGCGGCACGCCCATGCGTCGTGCCGCTACTGGGTGAATCCCAGGACTGCCGCCGCCCAAGCAGGGGTGGCCCCCCCCGATGGGTTTCTGGCCTGGCATTGCTCGGACGTGTGCATCCCCCCCCCCCGCGAGGACCATCGAGGAGCATCTCTCGGATAATCTCTCGAATCAGAACATGCGGCACAAGCATGATAGGCTTCTGGCGCTCCGCGCGGGTTTCTGGGATCCGCGCTGGGGCCCCCCTCGCGGGCCTCCGGCGCCGCCCCTGGCGCGCTCCGTGCGCCAGGGAGGGAGGGTCCAGCGCAGTTCCAAGAAGTCCGCGCGAAGCGCCGTCTTTCTTGCTCTGAGCACTTCGGATCATTCTGCGAACGAAAGCGCGCACGATACCGAACCAGGCGCGGGGACTGGACGTGCGAGCGGTGGCGAGTTGGTGGCGGTGGTCTCTGCCTCTCCCCCGAAGACGGCCACAGGCACGCGCGCCCCGTCAGACGTGCCCTGCAGCTGGCACCCTCGCTGCGCTCTCGACAGCTCCAGGAGCACATCGGGCGGGGCCCCAGGGCCGGGATGAGTCGCTCCAGGGCATGTCAGAACGCTCTCAGAGCGTTCCGCAGCGCTCCGGAACGGCCGCGGCGCCAGTTCGGTCCTCCAGGGGGTGCTGGATCTCAGGGATCCCCCATCTGTCGTGGTCCTGGCTTCTGGCGCATGCTTGTTGACATTCTCGGGAGTAGGCGCGAGCGTGAGGCGTTGAATCGAGTATGCGCATTATGTTTCGGGCAGAGGCCCGCATACATCTGAGTGCATGTTTACACAATAGTCTTTGGCCCATCCCGTCACCGTGCCTGGGTTGTGGGTCATAGGCCTCTAGGATGTTCGTTGGGATGCCGCGGGGGGGCCTCTCGGGGGCTTCGTGGAGGCAGGTTCGAGGCCTCTTGGGGGCCGTTTTGGGGAGTCTTGGGGACCTCTTGGGGGTCTCCTGGGAGCCTCTTGGGTCTTCTTTGGGGCCTCTTGGGGGCCTCTCGGGGCCCTCCGGGTCTCCTGGGGTCCTCTTGGGGCCTCGTTTGGAAGTCTCGTATTTTCGATTCGTGCTCCCCCTCTTGGGAAGACGACAAGAACAAGAAGAGAACGCTGAACTCATAGAAAAACGGAGGGAATTCTATGCGTTTAGCCTCTGGGGGCCCTCTTGGGAAAGATCTTGGGGCTCTCTTGGGGCGTCCTGTCTCGAAGGCTTCTTGAGCCGTCTTGGGGCCACCTTGGGCGTCGTGGACCGGCTGTTCGGCGCTTCGGGGCCCTCTCAGGACTGTCTTGGGGGCCTCTTGGGACCCTCTCGGCCCGTCTTGGGGCCCTCTCGGGCCCGAGCAAGTCGTGCGACAAGCCGCGGCGGGCCCCACGAGGCACGCGACAGGCCTCGAGAGATTTGAGAGCCAAGATGTCTGGGCCCCTGCAAGAGCCCTCAGGATTCGAGGACCGAGGCTCAGCGACTGAGCAAGGGCCACACGCCGCTTCGTGCCGCGGGGGGCACGGTGGCGGACATTCCCCCCGAGCAGTGCTTGCACTCCGGGGTTCTGGCTTCTGCTCGAAGGAGCTGGGCCTGCTGGCCAGTCCGGCGGCTCCCTGCTCTCCGTCGCCGCCCCGTCGCCGCCCCGTCGCCGCCTCGTCACCCGTCGTCTGGGGCTGGCGGTCGGTCTGGCAGCTGGGTGGCCGCCGTCGCCGCCCCGACGCCGCCTCGTGCCGCGACAGGGACTGCGCCACACATGCTGCACCACGTATACTGCACAACGTGCACTGCACAACAGATCGTGCACAGCATCGATGGCATATTTTTTTGCACCACACTGATTGCTCCGCATATATTGTACAACCTACATCGCGCAACACATCGATTGCACCTCATTGATCGCACCACCTTCCATCTCATAGACTACTCAACATAGATTGCACAAGATAGGTTGCACCACGTAGGTTCTCCATCTGAACATAATGCAAAGTAGGATGTCTACTCCCCCCCCCAATTTGATCGAACCATCTTGGGGCACTACGCTTTACGTGTGATTCCGGTCATGTTCATTATGAAGTCATACCATACGAGCCCAGCCGGTACCTCTCCCTCGTAGCACTATGTGCGTACACCCGTGTATAACATTTTGTCAAAATACAAGAATCTTTTGCAACAGATGACACAAGGTCTACTTTCGCGCGGCGTCGCGTGCGCATGCCGAGATTATTCAAGCACCTTAGGTTTCGTACGGATTTCAAGATGTTCAGCAAACCTGGTGTGCGCGCTCTCGATACTTCTTACGACAGCCATCTATTGTTTGACAATATATTCATCATGCGACGCTGTATGGGCTTTGCAACCAAGATGCGGGTGGGTGGGTGGGACGTTTGCACAAGCAAGCGAGGTTGTCACGCGCGGAGCAGGCTAGTTAAGTGTACCGCGCAGGCTAGAACCTGAGCGCGCACGCAGCGCGCGCGTGAGGTACAATAGGTACATATGCATATCTGCTGTTCTATACACACCTATATATACATGTGTATGATTATGCACCTGCACATGTATATGACTGTGTATGTGCATACGTATAGGTACACGTCTGTGTATACGTGCATGTGTGGAGGTGTTGTTTCTTGTGCATTCAATGTATATGCATATGTTTTGGTATATGTATATGTGTAAGTGTATGCCTATGTATTTGCACCTGTATCTGTGTGTATACATATACACAAGTTTATGCGCATACGTATATGGATGCACATGCATGTGTATCTTTATTTGCCTATGACTGTACACATGTATGTGTACACGTGTATGTATAAGTACAAGTACATGTAATTGTAAATGTATATGTGTGTATGCATATATATATATATGTGCATGTGGTTGTGTGTAAGTGTATGCTTATGTCTATGTAAGGTTGTATGTATTTGCATATGCATATATAGATGCTCACATCTAGGTATAGGTATGTGTATACGTAAACGCACTGATGACTGCATACGCATTCATACGTATAGGTATACGCACATGTATGTTTGTATGTATGTGTATACACATATATATATATATATATATATATATATATATATATATATATATACATATATCGGCGCACCGGGTCCGGGTGCCCGGGGCCGGGACCTCGACCACAAATGTGCACCCCGGGGGGCCCGGAGGCTCGTCGGGGCTTGCCGGAGGCCTCCCCAGTCAGACAAGACGGCCCAAGAAGCGCCCAAGACGGCCCAAGAAACTTCCAAGAGGCCTCCAAGAGGGCTCCGAGATGCTGAAGATGGCCTCCAGACGTCCAAGGACGCCCCCAAGAGGCTCCAAGAAGCCTCCAACATGCGTCCCAAGAGGGCCCCTAGACGCAAGAATTGGCCCATTCCCTTCGTAAAACGTACATTTTTAACAAAGTCGCCTTTTGGGCTTTCCGACGTTACAGGACGGCCCAAGAGGCGCCCAAGACCGCCCCAAGACGGCCCAAGAAGCTTCCAAGAGGGCCCCAGGACAGCCCAAGAGGGCCCCAAGACGGCCCAAGAGGCGCCCAAGATGGCCCAAGAGGGCCCCAAGACGGGCCCAAGAGGGGGCCCAG